TTACAAATAATACAGAATAATCTTTGAGAGCAATACGTTATTATTTTCGTTTAGATTGATATTTAATAAAAATAAAATACATACAAAATTTATATCTAAAATATTGTTTAATTATTGTAATTTCTTGTCGCAATTTCTTTTCCTAGCGACAAATTTAATGATATATTAGATAATAAAACGTATAAAAATAATTTATATATGTGTGTGATGTCATATTCACGCATTTGTTGAAAAGAATTATTTGTTTAAAGTCTTTGTTTGCGTATCGCAAGTACGACAGATGTTTAAATGCATCAATCAGTTTCATGCGCGGCGTTCTCTTGTGAATCTAACTACAATGTTGCTCGTCGAGCCTATCTGAAACAGCAGATTTCCTACTTCGAGTTCGGTCATGCATCGTTGCCCGGAAACGGATCTGCTTGTATGCGGACACGCGCGTAAATAAAAGGAGGGCGCGTTCGAACGCCGCGTAAAAACACTAATTATTTGCTCGTGGTTCGGACAAATGAGAGTCAGCTCGTCAAGGAAATGAATGCTACCTATTTTTCCTCATTTTTAACACTATTTAAACACCAGTTGTAAAACATTAAATTGAATGTATACAAGGAAAACATATTAATATTATTTTAATAATAAAATAAAATAAAAAGCAGTTTTTTGAATTACATTTCATTACCTCATATACCATTAAATTTGCCGCTAGGAAAAGAATTGCGACAAGAAGTTACAAAAATTGAACAAATTTTGTATCTAAATATATTGTTCAATTTTTGTAACTTCTTGTCGCAATTCTTTTCCTAGGGGCAAATTTAATAGTATATGAGGTAATGAAATGTAATTTAAAAAAACTCCTTTTTTTTAACGTAATATAAAATTGGAAAATTAATTGAATAGGTAAGAAGAAATATTGTTTGAAATAGATGTATGTTATAACGCGTAAAATTGCGAATATAAGTAGCTCGGGATCGATCTTTTGTTTTTATGCTTTCCAGTATCTCTTAACAATAATATTGTTGCTGCTCGGTGAGTGCACCGTGTGCATTATCGCTGTTTTCTGGCCTCATATACTGGGGATCGACGTAAGACCGGCACGTTTGATACGCGCTTTACAACGCAGTTATGCCGTACCTGGACGCGAGCAATTTACGGCTGCACTCGATCTTGCACAAACAATAGTAAGTTTGTCATCTATTGAATTTAAGAGTAAAGATATAATGTTAACATACGTTTTCTATTGTATTATTTTTCTATTAAATATTCAGGAGCATTAAATCGTTTAGAGCATTCCAAACAAATTACTATAAAATGAAGACTGATAAGTAAAAATTTATTAAAGTTATATATTTCATTATTAAGTCTTATATTATGCAAAAAAAGAGTCTTTTGTCTAGTTTTCATAAAAGATGAAAAATATAGAAAAGTAGAGAAAAAGAGGAGAAAAAGAGATATCTATCACATTTGTTACTTGGCTAATATATATATTTAATTTATATTTTTGAAATCAAAAGAGAAAACGTGCGTCGTTATTATTCTGACCATTTACAGTTTACTTGTTGTGGCATAAACGGAAGCAGCAATTATGGGACATCGTGGTGGCGACTGCAGGAAGTCGGTCGCAGAGAATTAGTGGTACCTCTCAGTTGCTGCACCCTGAATAACGCCAATGAGACGAGCTCCTTCCTCAACCCCGAACCTGCCAATCTCACTCTCTGCCAGGCTCTGAACCCTGCCGAACATCAATACGCCCGACACACTATGGTATGCGCGATAATGAGGAAGTTATTACCCCCTCCCCCCCCCTTGTCATGCCGTGCCATGCAGACACGAGTGAGACGAACTTTTTGAATCTGGCTAACAAAGAATAAATGCGGAGGTCTACATAAGGCTGCGTTCGGAAACATCACTTGAGTGCTTTAATGCGTCTCATTCTATCTCTATTGTTAGACGTTAAACAAGAATAATGACACTTGGATGAAGTTTTCGAACGTAGCCTAAAACGAGAACAAACATGTCTATTTAGAATATTGACACGTTATTCAAGTGCGATATTCACATGAAGCTTTATGACGCTATTCTCGCTCCATGAGAATGGAAATCCGTTTGAAAGTTTAATACAGTCAAACGCATCCTGCGTGAACATAAACGCGAAATAATATTTGAGGAAAAACTATCGCGAATCTCTACTCCTAGTTCGTAACTCCAAATTTGATATTTCGATTTTTCGCGTTTTGTTCGAAAGTTACGATAAAACCGGCATGACCTCATATACGAATACATCATACTAGGAAAGAGAGTCGTGTGATTAATAGCTTTTGTCTCGATGAAGACCTCCATAACAAGGCTATGAGAGAATTCATCAGAATGCGGGCAGCAGACAATGATGTTACGTTGTTATGATTTTAGTTTTGTTATATCTTGCTACGCATTAACGTATTTTTACCGTTTTATGCAATAAACTAATATCCATAACCAGCTATTTTTCAAATACGTGAATAAATATTAATAATTTTTAGCAATGATATATTTAGCAATGATATATTTACATGAAGTTTTATATCAGGATAAGTTAGATACGATTTTTAATATAAATCTTTATAAATATCTAAAGTATTTTTTTACATACAGTGTCTACATATAAGTTTTTGATCAATAATTGATTCCAGCGCAATCGATACGAGCTCAAAGCATAGCAACTTTGACACTAAATCCAACTTTACCGGCTTTAGAATTCACTCGAAGAGAAAACTACCGAAAATTAGATTTGAAGAAAAAGTTGAGCTAATAACTTCACACATTAAAACTGTATGCCTCTCTAAAAACGAACGAATTTGTCATCGATTAATAACGTCGGGCAACAAAAGACAAGCTGATACATTTCCGATATTCAATATAACATCTAATATCGATTGTTATGTGTGATTATCTATTTGTTTTATATTTAGGGATGCCTTGAACATATCGAGAAATGGACGCAGGATCAGGCCCTGATCTTACTAGCCATCGTATTAGTCGTCATGTTCGTCGAAGTTCATGACAATAGGAGAAGTAAATCGCAAGCGTCGACTTTCACCTCCACGCAGACTTTAAGCCCATTCAGCGAAAATGATCACGATTTTAGTAAGCAATTTTCTTAAACTACAATTTTTTTTGATCGCACTATTTCGAAAATATCTTTTAGTGAATCCAGTTAAATACATACTAGTGTACACTCAATAGACTGACGATGCATATTAAAACCGTTGTAATAAATGTGTGTTTAATGTAAAAAAACAAATAAATTAAATCGCGAAATTTTTAATATACTTTATTGTGCTGTTAGGTAAAATACATATTTTATAATAATTAAAAATTATATATATCTCCTCTCAATATGTAACAAATTCAAAAATAGAATATAACGGGAAGTATATATGTAGGAGTCAACGCAGTACTTAGTGCACAATTATAATAATTGAGTTACAATTTTAAATAGATAGTTTTACATTTAAATTAAATCCGATTACAGACTTAAAACTTACTTATTATATTCTATTCTTGAATTTGTCACATATTTTATGATTTGAAGTCTTTGCATTTTTCATTTTTAAACTCTGATTAAATCGGTGTAATTAAATTGCTTTAACATGCATTAATGCGCACTAGTAATATGCTCGAATCGAATTCGCTATTTAAATATACTTAACTTTATGAAAATAAAAATCAGAGCGCAAGTCGAATGTAATAGGAGAGTAATAGAAGCGTAAATGAAACTTCTAGGAAGTGAAAATTGAAATATCAAAATGTAAAAAAAAGTGTAAATGTTTCTTTTATATTTCATTGTTCCAATTTTCGCCTTCTAGAAGTTTCGTTTACGCTTCTCTTACTCTCTCATTACATCCAATTTACGCTCCGATTTTTATTTTTATCAGGGACATCGAGAAGGATCTTTATCAAACTTCAGTATTTTCGAAATTATTATTCACTATCTTATCATGGTTCAAATATGTCTGAATATAGGTCTAGGCATCGAGAATAGAATGCATACAGCCGGAACTACATTCGGTGCCAAATCATGAAGATGGCTGGAGGGCAGCGAAGGACGGACAGCAGTTGACGTCAAGGACATGAATAAGCGAGAAACGTGCGACGATACTAAATATAATGAATTAGCAATGAACGGAAAGAGCATAATTGAGGAATGGCGAAATCCTCCGAAATACTCCGAAGATTTGCTGCGAAGCGATCAAATGTACGAGGAACGAGCGATCGATGTTGTAATCGACAATCGTCCTCCATTGAATCTTCCTAAGAGACACCCGCAATACGCGTCGCTATCAAAGATCGTAGACAATGATACGAATAAAAATAACAATGATGATGAATTGATTAAGATTAAAAGACCACAAGGTGGTGGCACAGTTAGAAGCATTCCTATTAAAGATTATCAAGCGTCGATCGCGCATAATATCGGTACCTTGAGGCGATCCGTGGCACCTCAGTCGCAATTCGAGTCTCTAGTATCCGAACCTGAGAAGAGTGTTTACGTGCCGTTAAGAAAAAGAATTCCTCTAACCAACAACTTGCATCATCGGTCCGCATCGCAGACTACATGCATCGCCGCGCAAACCCTGAAAGCCGATAATGTTCGAAAAAAATCTTGCTGCTTTTGCGACAGTCAGCACAATTCGCGCGGCTTCTGTTGTGCTAACGCTGATTCAAGCAAGCACGTTAAAGACATTCGATACTTTAATGAAACGGAGGATCGACGATCTCAAGATGGTTCCGATATAGATGAATATTTTCACAGGAGTTCCCATGGCAAATTCTCGAACGATCATCGGGTTTCGAGAAGCACGCGCGAATCTTCGGGAACGGTAATGGCGACCGGTACGAAGAATGAGAAAGCGAAAGCAGAGGAGGAAGCGGGAGCGTTGCAATTAGCAGAAGGTCACGTTGGTCAGAAGATATCGGTTTATGAACAGAATGCTCAACGTAGCTTGCGCGGTGCCAATCCCAGATATCGATCCTTCGAGATAAAAGGATATCGTACAATTGGTGTACCGTTGGTGGGTATGCATAATGCTTGCGGTTTACCTGTCGTGGCTTCCTGGCACGATCACGAGCTTCTGGATTCTCTGCGAATTACCCGCAAGTTCGCAAAACCCGCGGGACCCATTTACAAGAGTCCTCGCACAATTCCGAACGTGCGACAACGGACGCAACCGAGACGAAAGGTGCTACAACCGGACCGCGGAATGATTCATCCGAGGGACATTGATCGTGGCGTTAAAAGATCGATAGTCAAATCAGTGGGGTATTTGGACGCTATTAATGGCGGCAGATCCAGAAGAAAACATCGTCACTCGTCGTTTACCATGGCAAAGATGGGATCGCTGTCCTCGAAAAATTCCTTTAAAAGGATGCCTAGAAGATATGGAATAAAAGCGAGTTCGCTGGTGGATACCTTCGGTAGAAAATCAATTAAAGGAGGAAACGCGAAACGGACGACTCTGTACGCGAAAGATGACGGGGAAGAACCGGTACAAGTTCTCAAGAGCTTATGCTTGAATCCTTTGGCGCGTGCCAATCCAGAAACAGACATAATGTGGTGAAGACGCTCTTGAAGAAATTAATGTATTTGCTTGTCTGCTCTTACCGATTAATGCATTTATATGTATTAAATGTATTATTATGTATTATTATGTTATGTATTTAATTATTATTAACATTATTTAAGCCATTTGAGATAAAAAAATTTAAGTATCATTTGTGCGCACATGAAATATTGTTCGCTTAGCTATTTAATTTCAATTTAAACACAAAGAGAGTAACAAAATATAAATAAGCTTTTTCTTTATTGATATTTCTATTAATTACCTCTTATCTCTTTGAATGTTCGTACATTAGTATAACGAATAAATTAATTGTGTGTGAAATAACTGTGTGATTTAATTATGTAAATATGTGTATCTGATATGTTATTGAATTTTATATTTCAAATTTTATATTAAACAGAATCCCTTGCTGCCCTCATTAAAGTTTGTTTTTGTCATATACCTATTATACCTGTCATATTTGTATTTTTTTTTAATACTATATTTCCGAATTTTTATCACTTTTACTGTTAAAGTTAAATAGATACGCGTTACTATCAAAATATAAGCAAACTAAAAAACAATAAAAATTTATTATAATCAATGTTAAATTTAATATCTTATAATAAACAAAATTACTTTGGAATGTAAGAAACAGAATATTCAGCACATATATCAGCATAGAATATTCAGATATGCTACATGTTTGCGTACAGCGCACTATCATTTCATTACTAAAGCCAGAGAAAAATCTAAGAGAAAACATAAGAGCTTTTTTCCTGTAATCACAAAATATGCCCGCATACTAATGTTATCTCAAGAAGAAATGTCAACTATATAACAATATCCATTTTTTTGCAGTGCTCCTGATGGAGATGCCTCCTTTTGCCTACAAATCGATTGCCTACAGTATCATTTACCTGTCTCACTTTTGACAGTTTGTTTTTAAACACATCCCTACCAACATTATTTTA